AACAACAAATATATAATCTCATAATTTTTCTATGAAAAACAAAGAAAGAAAACCCCAAAGACCAGATTTGTCTTCACCTGCTGTCTTTGTCCATTTTGTGCATCTGTAACCAAATACCAGGGACTGGGTCATTTATAAAAACCAGAAGATTATTTCTTATAATTCTGGATGCTGGGAAGTCCAACGTCAAGGTTCCAGCAGGTGTGGTGTCTGGTAAGAGCCAGGTTTCCACTTGGAAAATAGTGCCTTAAGGGCTGAATCCTTCAGAAGGGAGAAACAGTCTTCCTTACATAACAGAGGAGTGGAAGAATTATATCCGAATCCAAAATGTGCTTTAAAGTTTTAACAATGAAGATGGTGGGGATAGACATTTACATAAAGTGCAGTAGAGCAATGAAAGCAATAGGGACAGTTTATTTCTATGAGCAATAGACTCATAATTATACGAACTATTGATTTCTAAAAATGTGCCAAGGTAATTAAATCACTGAACATTAAATTAAAAGATGGAGATTTTTCTGGGAAGGTGGAATTTAAAACTGGGTGGTGAGTCTTGTTGAGAGAGTGACAACTGAGCAGAGGCTTGAAGAAGGTTTAAAAGTTAACAGTGCAGATGCCTGGGGAAGAGCGTTCTATAAGGAGGGAGTAGCCAGGCAGGCATCCCATGCAAGGCATGTACCTGGTCTTCAGAGAACAATGGGAAGGACTGTGAAATTAAGTGGTGTACACTGAGAGAAAATGACAGTCAGTTCCAGTCTTCAGCTTTGATCCTGAGAGAAAAGGACAGTCGTTTCCGGTCTTGATTATGAACTTGAGCTTCATGACTTTTGCACAAAATGGGTAATTAAATGTGTCATCATTTCTTCGAATATAAAATCAGGAAATTGTACCAGAGAACTTCTAAGATTCCCACAGACTGTGATTCTAAGATATTTAAAATGCAAACAAAGATAATCTTTTGCTGTGCAGAAGCTCTTTAGTTTAATTAGATACCATTTGTCAATTTTGGCTTTTCTTGCAATTGCTTTTTGCCCATGCCTAAGTCCTGAATAGTACTGCCTAGGTTTTCTTCTAGGGTTTTTATAGTTTTTGGTTTTACATTTAAGTCTTTAATCCATCTTGAGTTAATTTTTGCATAAGGTGTAAGGAGGGGGTCCAGTTCCCGCGTTCTGCCTATCATCAGAGTGAACCGGCAACTTACAGAATGGGAGAAAATTTTTGTAATCTATCCATCTGACAAAAGTCTAATACCCAGAATCTATAAGAAACTTAAATAAATTTACCTGGGGTCGGGGGGTAAGGGGAGAAAGAGCATTAGGACAAATACTTAATGCATGCAGGGCTTAAAACCTAGATGATGGGTTGATAGTTGCAGCAAACCACCTGACACATGAATACCTATGGAACAAACTTGCATGTTCTGCACATGTATGTCAGAACTCAAAGTAAAATAAAAATTTTTTATAAAATTGGAGCACTAAAAAATAAAATAAAATAAAATGCAAACAAAGCAATACAGAACAAATTAACAAAAGCTATTGTTAAATTATAAAACTAACATTTCAGTGAGGATATATTTAAAAGAGGATAGATTTTTTTTTAAGTGTGAAAATCCCAGAGACATAAAGTTGGCAAGTGATGGCACTGAAGTTTAAATAGAAAAAAAATAAAGTCTAGTCTCTAAGGAAAGAAACAAAAAGCAAATACATAATCGAGATGAATCTCAGAACACTGGATAATTTTGACTCAGGTCATTGTTCCTGTTTGGGACAAGACCTTCTTTGCCTAGTTAAAGTTACTGATGAGGCTATCGGGACACATATGCTATTTATTTATTTTTACTATAGGCAGAATATTATGTCTTAATCTTGGATCTTCAAAGAAACTAATAGCTGTTTAATATGGGGGGATTTATAAAACATATTTAAAGGTGTGTTTATCTGTTAAGACTTAACTGGCCTACAAGAGTAGTTTGTTGGCAAACTATCAAGTTTTTATCAGGGAATTTAGACAAGTCTGTTGGGTCACAGAGAGGGTCTACAAATTGGAAGACTCAAAGTGGATTTAGAATTCATGATCAGTCTAGTAATGCATCCTTGCTTTTAGATGCCTTGGCTTAAAGACCTCAGCTTGTGAGGATTTATTATCACACTGGATTCAGAAAAGGCTTGAGGAGCTCCTCCTTTCAAAGAACTGGCCTGCACCAGTGCTTTTCTGTTCGGCTTTTCTGGTCATTACTTAAGGATTAAGGGATAAAGGATGCTATTTAGTGTCCTTCCCTCTCCCAGTCCAGCTTCAAAGAATTCTGAAGCTAGAATGCAAGACTCAGTGCTACCTCAAAAGAAAGGAAAGGTTACTCGGTGTTTGGGTACCAGAACAGTGAAAGAGGTCTGCCCCACAGCCAGGAAACTCAGGTCAGCGTCCTGGAAGGGATGGGTCACACGCAGGGCTGGAGTCAAAGCAGAATCCACTGGGCTGTCAAACAAGTGCCCAGCACTCTTTTGGGGGCTCATATAACTCTGACTAGCACGCTTCTGTTTTCATGTGCTTCTAAAAGAGTTATTGGACAGAATGACTTTGGCCCAGATCAGTGCTCCTGTTTGAGGAAAGAACTTCTCTGCATGGTTAAAGCTACTTATAGATTCTCACTGATCTCATTGCCTTGAAATAACTAAAGATAAGTTTAATTCAACATATTTTTTATATTGAGAATCTGTTATATGCCAAATGTTACTCATGGTATTATAGAAGACTCTAAAACTAATAAGGTACATTGTAGAGAAATAAGTTCTAGAGCTGTACGTTCAAACCAGCAGCCACTTACCTACGTGTAGCTATTGAACAGTTGATATGTGGTTAGTGCAAATTAAGATGTACCTGAACTACAGAATGCACACTGGATTTCAAAGGCTTAGTATGAAAAATATGTAACATTTCATTAATAATATTACATGGGTTATATGTTGAAATAATTATATTTCAGATAAAATTAAAATATTACTAAACTTTATATCCCTACATTTTTTATGTTTTCAAATATGGCTATTAGAAAATTTTAAGTGACATAAGTGACTCACATTACATTTCTATTGGATACCATTGATCTGGAGGAAAAAGACTACTATAAATTTTTAGGTGGGATTACAAATGCATTTATGCAAAATGCTATAACTGAGACCTCTTTTAATGCACTAGAAGAAAAGGAAGAAGTTCCCAAGTCATGGACGGGAAAAGAAGGGATTTTCTCTGCGCTCTAAAGCATGGGTAAATCTGAATACTACACAACTATAAAAACGCTGAAAACTTAAATAATTTATCTCAATCTTCCATACACACAGCAGCTACTGTCCTATACTAAACTTTTCTCCCGCCAATACGTGATCTGAAAAATTCTATTGCTGATTAAATTCTATTGCTATTATGTCAAGGGATCATATGCCTTACGGTTTTATTTTTAAAAATTTTTTCAATAATTTTGTCACCGTATATGGGCATCACACTGTTTCATCATCATTGGTTTTTGTTTGTTTGTTTGTTTGTTTGAGACAGAGCCTATCTCTGTCTCCTAGGCTGTAATGCAGTGGTGGGATCTCAGCTCATTGCAACCTCCGCCTCCCAGGTTCAAGCAACTCTCATGCTTCAGCATCCTTAGTAGCTAAGACTACAGGTGCACCCCACCACACCCAGCTAATTTTCATATTTTTAGGAGAGATGAGGTTTTGCCATGTTAGCCAGAATGGTCTCCATCTCTTGACCTCATGATCTGCTACTCAGGAGGCTGAGACAGGAGAATTGCTTGAACCCAGGAGGCAGAGATTACAATGAGCCGAGATTGCGCCACTGCACTCCAGCCTGGCACCTGGCAACAGAGCAAGACTCTGTCTAAAAAAGAAAAAAAAGTTAACCACAATCTGCAGCAGAGACCATTCACTCTTAAATCCTACTCTAGGACACCAACTTTCTCTATTTGTTGTAATCACTTCGCCATTTGTAACAGGTTAGTTAGCTTGATTGGTAACCAGCTTAAAAGTACACCATAGACCTTGGAATCCAAAATTGTTAGTCCTCATTTTCATTTTCTAAAACACATATTTTGATCCTCAGAAATTGAACAACTTGCTGAAAATTGCTACTTTTAACTGTGAAGGAGCTAAAGAGAGTCAGTATCTTCCCCTTTTGAATCTTCTCCCCATACCCCCAGAACCCTCACCAGGCCCTGAAGCCAATCAGAGCCAATACCTGGCAAGTTTATACCTCTATTTAAAAAACAAACAAACGAAAAACCTAGGAATTCATGATATATCAAATGATCTCTAATTTCATTGAAATAGAAAGGGCTTAATACAGGTGCAGTGGGGTGTGCTCTTGTCCAAGCCATGGTTCCCCATGTATGAAACTTTTAAGACTTTCATGGTGGTCCACTTTTGTGGTCAGGGCTTCTTCCACTATGGACTTTCTAATTATTCTCTAGTCGGAGGTGGTAATCCATAATTCTTCTTTGCTTCAGTCTCATCACGCCTATAATCCCGGCACTTGGTTGGGGGGAGCTTAGGCGGGTGGATCATGAGGTCAAGAGATTGAGACCATCCTGGTCAACATGGTGAAACCCCATCTCTACTAAAAATACAAAAAAATTATCTGGGCATGGTGGTACACGCCTGTAATCCCAACTACTCAGGAGGCTGAGGCAGGAGAATTGCTTGAACCCAGGAGGCAGAGGTTGTGGCGAGCTGAGATCACGCCATTGCACTCCAGCCTGGGTAACGAGGGAAACTCCGTCTCAAAAAAAAAAAAAAAAAAAGTCAGATAGCGTAGTTAGCTTCTTTGTACTAACTACCAAAAAAGAAGAATGTCAATTCACGCTGATCTCCTTTGGTCCACTTTTCTTCTGAATCTAGTTACCAAATATGATTCTGTTTTTTCCTTTGTTCTCTAATTTCCGGTTGCCGTACGTCAGTAGCTCCATTGTATGTGGACTTACCTCCACTCTCAATCTCTACCCAACCTTTTTACCCCAGCACCTGACATCTCATCACCACAGTGATTCACCTGCAGAGAGGCTGTACCGTTGGTTGATCTCAAAATGTCAGCCAGCCTGAAATGCAGGAATTTCCATGTATGTGTGTGCATTCCTTATCAGTGTAGAATCTTAATTAATTAATACAATGCAGAAAGTCTCACTAGGACCCATTCCATGGAGAAGATCATTCTGGAGGTGGCACCAGACTGCTTAACAATGTAGAAGCAAGCAGCAGAATAGGAAGGAGACCAGGAGGCAACACTTTCTGAGGGCCTTGCTTCATGTCTGAAGCCGCCAATGAACAAAGCTCTATTTTATCAACTTGGAAGTGAAATCTCAGAAAGATCAAGTGTGTGTCAGAGAGCAAGTAAGTGGGAATGGGCTTCATGCTTGGATCCATCTAGCTCTTAACCACCCTCTTTCCTTTTATCATCTATTAATATATAAAAGCACATATATGTGTGTTTTTTTGAAAATATCATCAGAATCAGTGATCCAAAAAAATGGGTTTAAATGGCAAATAAAGAACCTAGACATCCCCTGGGTCTTTGCATCCTCAGGCCTGGTGCTGAGATCAGGAGGTGATTTCCCTTTTTTCGCAACGGTCCTTGGAAGTGCAGGTGATGACATCATGGACGCCTCCATCTCCAGGCTCTGTTTCCATTTGAGGCTAATATTAGGTCAAATTTCCAATCTTCGGACTTTCCATTTTTAGCAATAAAAACCAAGTTTTACAATATCTGTTTTGTTCAAGCTCTTCTCTGTGGTGATTCAATACCTAGCACATCTGGAAAACTAAAATTGCTTAAACAAGCTGATTAAATGAAACCAAAAAACTTATAATTTTTAAGCACAACCTATTAGTTTATTGGTTTGGATATCTTAGCGTTGTTCTAATAAACTATTTGTTAGGTCTTGGTACATGTCTAAGTTATAATACTAGTAAAATTACCTCCATGCCAAAGGTCTAACAAAATTAAACAGATGGGTTCTTGGCTATTTTCCAAAACAACATAGTAGTGTGAACATATCAATAAATGTAACTTTTAAAAAACTTTTGAGCATATGTAGCCTCCATGGAAATGGTATTTCGGGCACTATCTAAAGTCATCATGTGTAACGGTGTGGTAGCAGCTGTGCACATACATTTGTATTGGGTGAATTCTTGCTTATTAATAATGTTTAGGGCAGAATAGAAGGTGAATTATAGAAAGAGAAGCACGAGAATGCAAAATTTTGAGAATATATCTTTGCCATTTCTAAGTTCAATTTAATTTTCTTGTTTCACAGATGAGAAAATCAAAGCCCACGTCATCTGCTTCACATCCCACATTTACTTAATGCTGTGAGAGTAGAACGTTTTTCCCAGCGGCTACCCCTCCATCTCAGGCTCTGATTTCAGAAAGAGTAGTAGTATCCTAGTGGATAGATATTAGATTTTTTTTTTTACAATATTTAGCTTATTCCTAGTAGACAACAGTCAATGGACACGTTTTCCAAATTGAATTGACTTCATGTCAGTGAAATTTTTAATAAAGACACAGCAAATTTACACTGTGAACATAATATTTCCTTTTCATAATGTTTGTCTGTGATATTCATATTGATTTCTCACCATTATACCTTTATTAAAAACTCTTTGTAGACGAAGAGTTTTGACATTAAAAAAGAAACTAATAGTAGCATAGCACTGAACTTTAAGAAAGTTATTGCATGGAACAATCACTAAAAGCAAGCATTTACTACCCTGTCAGTCCAAAATGTGATATTGTGTAATAGCCTTTAAATTGTATTGTTATAAAAATGTTGCTTAACTGGGCCCTTAGGAATTAATAATGGTTCTGAAAATAAACTAAATGATTTCTTTTCCTTGGCCCCCATTTAATGTCCTAAATGGTATTTCTGTGTTCAGTCATCTTTTTTATTGAGAAAATTTGTCTAACATCCAGGAATTGCTTTGGGAAAAGACATTCTACCCATAAAGTTGAATTTCTTTCTTTTTTTCTCAGAAGAGAGGATACTAGGTTACCCAAACCACCAATTCTCATTCCAGACCAGCCCTTCGTTTTCTTAGAAGTACTCTCGGAGCCTGCACGGTTCTAACATGAGCCTCCTTGTGCGGTACGTTACGAAATGCTGTCGGAACAATGACTCCTCGAGAAGTCCAGTGAACTGGCAGAAACCCCCAACCAAAAAGATGATCAACTCAGATACTGCTGCAGTGCAAAGGGATAGAGAAGGAGAAAGTGTGAGTTCTATACATGGTTCAGGCCAGCCAACTCAAGGCAATTTGAGTGTATCATGCAAATACTAGCACTAGCCACTGGCATTTTCACATAGTCCAAGAGTTGAACTGGGCTAGCAAAATTAAGCCTATTTACTACAAGGAGAAATCTACTTTCTTAAAATCCACTTTGAACAAAATTTGAGTGATAGCCAGGTGGAAATGTACTCTTTAAGAGCAGGTATTAAGTCTTTTTAAGCTTCTTAGGCCATAAAGCGATCAGCGCAATGTTTTCACATTAAATCCTACTGGTTTTTCCTAGAATGCTTTTTCTGACATTAAATTTGTAAATATGTTTAAAGGGTAAAAATATTGTTTGCTACTTCAAAAAATAAACTATTTTTTGAAATTTTAAAGAATGTATTTTCATGTTAGTAATTTACGGTCAAATCTCACCTCATTATCCTCATCTGTAAAATGGAATAATAATAAATTTTGCTTGTAAGATTACGAGGATTGAATGGTTGATGCCATCAGCACTTAGAACAGTAACTTGCAATGCAAGCCTTGATTGAATTTAGTTTTTATCCTTGCTTCCCTTTTGCCTTTTTTGCTGTTACTGATTATTAAAGTTTCAGGGCAGTTCATGGCACACACTTAGGTTAAGTCATGCCACTTTTGAAAGTAAAAAGATTTAAAATACATATTAATTCTACAGAGGTGGGAGGGAGGATCCCTTGAGCTCAGGAGGTTTAGGCTGCAGTGAACCGACATCACGCCACTGCGCTTCAGCCCAGGTAACAGAATGAGATCCGCTCTCAAAAAATTGTTTTAAAAATTATATTTATATGGTTTGTTGTTAATTGATTGGTAACTGGTGAATTAGTGAGATCGTAGTGAATTTTTATAAAATGCTTTTTCTGGGGCAAGTTTACTAATCTCCTGAATCACGTAGGAAGCCCATTTTACCAGCATCACCTAGCTAATAGGATGCAGCAGAGTAGGGTCCATTCCACAGCTGCAGCCACCGCAGCGTAATGCACAGCTGCCTGCCTTCCTCAGCGGCTCCAGATCCGAGCTGGGTGGAATTGGTCTTCCTGGGAATATTGGAAGCTCTGGGGTAAAGTAAACAGTTCAAAGCTGATTTCTCTAAAAAGGACTCACACACTCACACATGCATCCTTTGTATCCTTCCTCTCTCTCTCTCTCCTTCACACTCATGTACAGGCATTTGCCCACATGACATTTCACTTGCATGCACATGAAGAGACCCAGAAAGCACACGGGCACGTCTGTACACCAGGAGAGCACTGTCTTTTGTTCTCCTCACTTTTCTTCTCATTTCCTGCTCTTCTGTCATCCTTTCCACTCACCTTGTTCATTACTTTCAGAGCTCTTATTTTGTCTTTGGAAGATAGTCATCTTATGAAGTCTGATGAAAATACTTTTAAGGTGTGAATATTCACCTTGCTGTGTTGCCCTCATCCCATGATGGAGGCTCAACTAGGATCTGGAAATAGCAACTCTTAATCCAGAAATGAACAGAATACAGATTCCTCAACATGGGGAAATATATTGAGGCAAGAGGTTGTTCTTGTGATCTCTCATTTCCAACCCTGTATACAACCACTCACTTCTCTTACATGTAAGATTGCCTTGCAACAAATTGAAAAGACTCTAAAGCCAGTACAGATATCTATGACATGTGATGAGGCATACATGCAGGATGGAGAAAGCTTTTGGCCCTGATATGACATAGTATTAATACAAAGACACTGATTCTGCCAAGACCCATCTAACCAGAAGGGGTAGCATACTTGCACTATTCACCTGGGCATTCATGCCAGGTGCATTTAGCCCCTTTATCCCATGGTGCCTACTCTTGGCAATGGATATCACAGGGAATGTCTCATGATTAGGCACGTGGGCTCATTGGGGTAAGGGAGTAAGAGGCACGACACAAGCCATGCTCCTCACTACTACTTTTCAAATCTCAACCTCAGCAACACTATTGTTCATGACCTCAGAATCTTCCTTTATTTTCTTCTTACTAGGAACCTGCCAAGCTTCGACGGGCCTTTTGACAAGCTATGAAACCTCTAGGAACCATATGGAATACCTACAGTGCTTTGTGGACATCACGATTTCTTTTTTCAGTTACCCCCAGTTTGCCCTCTGGAATCTCATAATTGGATGTTTAATCAGGGACTTGTCAAAAGAAAATCTAGAGAACTGACTCATCTACATAAAGGTGCTATAAAACAGCCAATTCAAAGAAATAAGATAAGAAATGGTCTTATGTGTTCAAACAATAATTATACACTTTCCTCAATTATTTTTGAATCAATAGCTTTCCTGTATTTTTATAATAGATGGTCATATCTGGTCTGTGGTAAACCATGGTATTAGGATACAGGGTCATTGAAATTATCTTCCTGTTTTTCTATGCAATATTAGTCATTCTTGATCTTTTCTTTTTAATTTGAAATCTACTGGGTAATCAGTGATGATGTTTCCTTGATCAATAAAATTGATCAATAAAAATAAAAAAATGCTTTAGTTCTTTTTCTGTCATTATCTTATCATTTATTGAAAGAATGTCTTTTCTTTCTCTCTCTCTGGCTTGGTTAAAGGGTTTACTAGCAGCTTCTCAGGAAAAACTTTGAGTTTTATAGGAGACAGAGGCAAAATCTGTTTTGGCTTCATTCTCCAAATGATCTCGGTCTCTTTTTAATCCTTTTTCACGCATATCCCTTTTGCATTTTCTTTTTCCGAGAGCTGCTTTTCTTTTTTGTTATATTTTTATTCTGGTTTTGTGTTGGCATGATCACTTTTTAAGAGGTTGAGTTCCGCTGTGAACTGCTAGTGCGAGCTCTGATTTCTTGTCCTCCACTCTGAGGCCAGATTCAGGGCTTGTCTACATATTCCTCATGGGAGTGTTTGTGAGGCCTGTGTTTCTTCAAGATAAACCTGATTCAGTGCCTGCTTTCTTGCTAGACCCAGGCTGTGAGCACAACTTTGAGTGTGACCCAGGTGACTGCCAGGCAGGAGCAGAACCTGTGTGACCCTGAGACTCCACCCTAAGTGAGGCAGCAAATGCCGAGGAGATCAGCAGCTTCTCATGAGGGTCCAGTTTGCTCACATTTTCTTTATAATTTCAGAATCTATTTTTATTAATCAGATTAAATCAGTAGTTTTATTTTCTGGAAACACATTTATCTGGTTTGAGAATCAAAATTATTCTCAATTTATCAATTAATCAAATAATATTTCTAATGTATGGGTGCATTCTATGCATGTGAAATTAGCAGAATATTGAAAAAAAATTAAACTTTACCTCTTCAAGTGGTTAACTCTTAAACACCTTAGCTCAGGGTTTTCTTTGTGGGAAGATTTTTAACTACTCATTCAATTTCTTTAATGGCCGTAGAATTATTTACACTTGCCATCACTTTCTTGTCAGTTTCAGTCATTTATGTTTTTCCGGAAATTTGTTATTTCAAAGAAAATAGCAAAATGTGTTCCCTAATATTTCAGGCAAATTAATTATATTAGCGATGACAGTTTTCCATGCCTCCATGTACCTTGGGCATGTGACTTGGTTTGGCCCACAGGACAGTAGGTTTGGCCAACAGATGCAAGCATAAGTTTGAAAAAACACTTGGAAATTTCCGCAACCTATTTGGGACTCTATCACTGCCATGGAAACGTGTGAAGTCTGGTCTGTTCAAGAAATGTGACAGAAATGTGAAGGACATTTGAGTCCTCCTAGATGAGGCTGGCATCTTAGGTCAGCCAAACTCTAGCCACCCCCTGCCCCAGATACATCACACAGCGCAGCCAAGACCCTCCAAGTACAGATCACACTAGCAGAACTTCCCAGACCACCCATGCACACCTGAGTGGCTTTATACACAGAAAACGAAAAGTAAAAATATTCTCATCTTTAGAAACTCTGTGCTTTGATAGTTACCAAATTATTTGTTCTGAATATTATATATTTTTTTGTCATTCACTTGCTTTATCTTAAAAGGTTTATTTCTTTTATTAGTCTTTACACAAAACTTCTGTATAGTCATATTCTCTCCTACCTCTTGTTTTTCTGCTTAATTTATGTCTTCTCTTTATTAGCAGTGTTATTCTACTTTCCCTGATTTTATTTTGCTATATTTCTTCCAGTGTAAGTCAATCATTCTTCAGGCATTTTTGTAATATGAGCACTAATTATTACAAATAGAATTTTGGTCATATTCTATAGTATTTAATGTATACATTTTTGTTATGTTATCTTCTAATTATTATTTTAAAACATATTTTATTTTTGTTTTGAACCAAAATTATTTTGAGATACATTTAATTTTCCCAATATCTTTTTGAGGGTTATTTCTTTGTATCTTAAATGCATTGCTGTCAGAGAACACACTGTGTCACACCACTTTTTTTGACATTGAGGCTTGCATAATGACCCAGACTGTGATCGGTTTCAATAAATATTCTGTTCTATTTGAGAAAGTATGCATCCTCTAATTATAGGGTGAAGGCTTCTTTAGATACCAATTACATCTGGTTTTTGTTTTTGTTTTTTTGAGACGAAGTCTCACTCTGTCGCCCAGGCTGGAGTGCAATGGCATGATCCTGGCTCACTGCAACCTCTGCTTCCCAGGTTCAAGTGATTCTCCTGCCTGAGCATCCCCAGGACCTGTAACTACAGGTGCCACCACCACTCCAGGTTGATTTTTGTATTTTTAGTAGAGACAGGGTTTTGCCATGTTGGCCAGGCTGGTCTCAAACTCCTGACCTCAAGTGATGTGCCACTTCGGCCTCCCAAAATGCTTAGATTACAGGTGTGAACCACTGTGGTTGGCCTAAATCTGTTCTCAATTGGAATTTAAAAATATCCTCTACCTTCACAATCAGTAGGAGGCATAGTATGACATCTTCCCAGGTGATGGTAGATTTGTACATTGTTTCTTTTAGCTGTCTCAATGAGTACTTTAAATATTTTTTAAGTTATTTTATTTCCAAAATTTATTTCTTCCCTTAACTAAAAATTAATCATTGTGCAGTGCATTACACATGCTACTACTGGCTTCTGACTTACAGTATATTTTGCCAGATATTAACATAGGTATGTCAGTGTTCTTCCTGTTATTTTCTGAATTTAAATTTCTTCCGTTTTTAAATCTTTTGCTTCCTGTTTCAGAATTTCTCTTTTTTCATTATTTATTTTGTGTCTACACACATTATATGTATTTATGTAAATGTCTGTATGTGTTTTAAACTGTGATTTTAATCCAGTGATTATTTATATATCTGGATACATTTTTATCATTTTAGTTTTTGATTTCTCTATGTTCCACTTTTTCTTAATTTCTTCTTCTTTTGATTGATGAATAATTATTATTAATAACAATTGTTATTATTGTTTAGTTCTTTCGTTTTCCAGCTATCGATTTAATTTTTTTTAAAGACGGAATCTGGCTCTGCACCCAGGCTGAAGTGCAGCGGAGTGGCCTCAGCTCACTGCAACCTCTGCCTCCCGAATTCAAGCAAATCTCCGGCCTCAGTCTCCTGAGTAGCTGGGATTACAGACGTGTGCCACCACACCCAGCTAATTTTCGTATTTTTCGTAGTGACAGGGTTTCCTCGTGTTGGCCAGGCTGGTCTCAAGCTCCCTACCTCAAGTGCTCCGCCAGCCTTGGCTTCCCAAATTGCTGGGATTACAAGCCTGAGCCGCAGCGCCCAGCCTAGACTTAAAATTACACTGTGTAAAGTTTATAATAATGTATAAATATCTAGATCCTGGAAATCAAATAACATATAGTTTAGAAGAATAACAACGTGCGTCATTATTTTCATTATTTTGGTGGTCTGCCTTTGCATACTTAATGAAGCCCAGTTTCAGTCAATAGCTGTTTTATCCTTCCCTGAAATGAAAGTAACTTGGAGCACTTGATGTTTAATTAACTTCAATAAATCATGCTTCTATTTACCTGAATTTTAGACCTCTTATTATCTTTTACTTTAATACCATTATTTATAGTTTGGTGCTATTCTTTCAAACTAAAAATATTTGTTGCTTTTACTCTTTTTTAAAAAACTAAGCTGATTTTGTGTTTCCTATTTCTTCTTGCATCTCAAAAACTGTCTTACTTAGTCCTTTTACTCCTTCCTGATACACGCATTTTTCTAAATTGGTAGTGACTAACTTCATTTTTGCTACAAGCTAAATCTTGAAAATTTTTTTTATTGGGTGCATAAAACTAAATTACTTTTTTTTTTTGGCTCAGAGCTTTGAGGCAATTCTTCCGTTACAGGTCTTCTTCCATTGTTATTGCTAAGAAATACGTAGACATTTTATTTTAATTTGTTTTTTCAGCTGAAACTACTTTCTGGCAACTTTTGAGGTGTTTTTTTTTTTTTTTTTTTTTTTTTTTTTTTTTTGTCATTATGTCCTTTAATTTTTTCCCCAAATGTCCACATTTTTATTTTTATTTGTCTTGCCTGGTTTGTGCTTCCTACATTTAACGATTTTTATCTTTCATAATATTTCTCCCTGATTCTCTCTATTCTTCTTTTTATTTTTGTTGTTGTTGTTGTTTTTTTGAGACACAGTAGTCTTGCTCTGTCACTCAGACTAGAATGCAGTGGAGTGATCTCGGCTCACTGAAACCTCTGCCTACCAGTTCAAGGGTTTCTTCTGCCTCAGCATTCCAAGAAGCTGGGACTACAGTCACCCGCCACTACGCCCTGGCTAATTGTTGTAGTTTTAGTAGAGATGGGGTTTCACCATATTGGCCAGGCTAGTCTTGAACTCCTGACCTCGTGATCTGCCTGCCTTGGCCTCCCAGAGTGATGGGATTGCAGGCATGACGACACCCCACCCGAACCTCTATTTTCTTCTTTAGAAATTCCAGTTCGATTTATATTAACGATTTTCAAAGTAATCAGGACGTCTCTGAAGGTTCATCCTATTTTCTATTTCTTGAGTGCCCTGTGCTTTGTCCTTGGTAACTTCTTTAGATTTGCCTAGATTCTCTAGTTTTCTAATTCTCCCTTCAGGTCTAATTTGTTATCTAGGTCATTCATTTCATTAAAAAAAATCAATTTGTTATAATTATTATATTTTTTATTTTTCAGATATTTTTGTTCTTAAGTTCTATTTTGTTCAGTTATGTTTTTCAGTTTTGTATTGCTCTATATTATCCAAAACTGTGTGATCAGATTTATATTTGTATTTTATCACCTCCTTATTATTTTATCAGGAATATTTTTATTTCAAAACATATATATTGTATACATCTCTGAAATTTTGACTGTTTTAATATCAGTAGTCATGGGAGGAGGGTCCATTTATAATGTTTTACTCTCTGCTGTGTTTTTTTTGTTTTTGTTTTTAAGATGGAGTTTTGCTTTGTCACCGAGGCTGGAGTGTAGTGGCAGGACCCCAGCTCTTACTGCAACCTCTGCCTCCCAGGTTCAAGCAA